TTTGTGTTTTTTTTTGTTGCTACTATGGGAACTTTTTTTACTATGGTCTGAAGTAGTCTGATCTTTCATTAACCATCTTCTACATTCCTCTTTTTGGGTCGGATTAGGTGAAAAGCTTCAACAGCTAGAACGCGAAAAAGGAATTGTTGTTCGTTTCATGATCGGCCACAGGCAAGTAAAAGAGGATTTCTGCAGTTATTTCCTCTTAAGCTTTTGGAAAAGCTGCTAATAAGTTACAGAGCTTCTAGCATCTTATTCTGTTCTTGCAGTATGGCCTGTGCTAGTGAAATCATTGTGTCAAGATCCTTTGTCCACTCTCTTGGGATCCGCAGATGCAGATTTTAAATTCAGCTTTCTAGTTGATGCTTTTGTGATTGTTTTCAGATGCTTGGATTTTCATGTTTGCATGAGCATGCCACATGATGAGAACTGATCTAAACATGTTCTTCGAACTAATACTCAGGTCAAAGCCTTGTAACTAATTCAACTGGCACTACTGGATATAGCTTTTGCAGATGGTAATAATTTTCACTAGACAGATTAAAGTTAGTGTTATCTTCGTAGAAGTGGATAAGTTGTTCTTTTATACTATCATAACACCGTTGAGGGATGCAAATTAGACTATGGTTAGTTTATTAAACAAATGAACTCTTGATAGTTTGACAATCTGACAATTTAAAGAAGGAATTTTTGGCATGTTTTAAAAGATAGATCGACGGATAAAAAAAGGTTCTAATTTTTTTGAGCTGTCACTTAGAAGGGAGGAGGAAACGATTTATACTGTACTTGTATTATTGAAGCCAAATAGGAATATATGTATTAGAAGGGAGGAGGAACGATTTATACTTTACTTGTATTATTAAAGCCAAAATCGGAATACTTGTATAGAATGATTAAGATGGTTCTCAAATCCTGTTCCAGCATGCATCAATTTATATGATGTACGAAAATTTTTACTCATTGGTTTTTCCGAATGCCTTTTTTAGGACAGTAGACATGATAAAGCACCTTGATTTAATTAATTGAAATGCATTGTTTTAGTGCTAGAATTGGAAAGAAACATGCAGAATAATATTGTTCAGCCAATTGCTTCAGCTTGAGCATGGATCGCAATTTTGTCTTTAAGCCTAGATGACAACTTCACTTGAATTCTAGAAATATACACTCTATACCGAAACAAATTAGAAGAAAATAGAGAAAGATTTGGAAAAGGCAGAATACTTAATATTCTTAATATTATAGACCAATGCACCACCATTGAGGGATTGTTCAATAGAAACCTGGGTATTCTTAATATTATAGACCAATGCACCACCATTATCTATATTTTACTAGCATGTGTTCCCAATTTCTTCTGAACTTTAGGGAAGTAGGTAAATCTTTGTTTAATGAAGTAATTCTTATCTTGGTTATTTGTGACAGAATTTTCTTTCAAACTGTGTTATATGTTCCTATTTGTTATGCCAAGCTAATCATATCCTATACAGTCCATTTCATTCTTCTTAAATATGTCACATCATATAGTTTTTTCAGATCCATCATGTTTTCACAGTATTCTCTTTTTAAACCAGTTTCACCTGAACTACAGTAAGTCCAGGAAATAAATGTGCCTGGTCGTTAGAAAGCTAAAAGTTAAAATTGCCATTTTTTTTGCAGTGCGACATCTCACAGTATTCTAGATAAGGCTATTGATTCAGAGGAAGCTCAGCACAATGACTTTCTCAGGCTGGTAAGGCTTTTGCCTTTTTTTCCTGCATTTTAACGTGCATGCTCTGATTGTTATGCTTTTTGCAAAGAATACTTCTTCCCTGAATCGATATGATGTTTGTATTGTAGGCACATGTGGAAGGTTACCATGAACTTTCTGCAAAAACAAAAATATTCTTTTCCACTGCAGTTGCCACATGGGATGCTGAGTTCTACGTCAAGGTGGATGATGATGTCCATTTGAATCTAGGTGTGAAATAAAGCTCAATAAAGATCCAATATGATGCCTTCTAGAGTATTCATTGGCAATGATACATGAAAAAAACTATTTCTGAAATGCAGGTATGCTAGCCACAACTCTTGCTCGACACAGATCAAAGCCCAGAACGTACATTGGATGCATGAAGTCTGGGCCAGTACTTTCTGACAAGTAATATTCTTTTATCCACACTCAACTGAGTGTGATCCTCCTAATGTAACAAAGTTTCTTGAAGTAGCATTGTAGAAATATGCATCTCTGATTTATGAATATGTATTGTAGAAATGTGAAGTACCATGAACCTGAATATTGGAAGTTTGGAGAAGAAGGAAACAAGTACTTTCGCCATGCTACTGGGCAGATATATGCTGTCTCAAAAGATCTGGCTACTTACATCTCAATCAACCAGTAAGGATAATTATCTCATTAGCTGCTTGGCCTCTATATGGTAGCACTCTAATCATTGAATCACTGATGTCAGTCCAATACTTCACAAGTATGCCAATGAAGATGTATCATTAGGCTCATGGTTCATCGGACTGGAAGTCGAACATATTGATGAGAGGAGTATGTGCTGTGGAACGCCACCAGGTTTGTTTCTTCCTAAGATACAAGAGTTGAAACAACACAAGAGACATTTAACCTCCATAGTTGTTTGCTCGCCTTTCTCCAGACTGCGAGTGGAAGGCCCAGGCAGGAAACGTATGTATTGCATCATTCGACTGGAGTTGCAGCGGTATATGCAAATCGGTGGAGAAGATAAAGGATGTCCATGAAAGATGTGGTGAAGGAGATGGAGCTGTTTGGAGTGCTTTATTCTAACCGGGGATTGATGTTAGTTTGACTATTTACGCACTCATACAACTAGAGAGGCATCTCCTGACGGAAACAATGAACATTACAAGCAAGATCAAATCCGACGATTAGTGAAGATCAAGTTTCCCTGTAAAAGACCATAAGATGAACAGGCTGTCATCTCGTCAGTTGGGATATTGAGGTTACACTTATGCTTCTGGTTGATTCTTGATCGAAAAGCTTGTACTGGTTTGAGAAACTCGATTAGATGGAGATGAAACTGCTACTAATGCACACAAGAGCTAAGCTGTAGTTCTGATGTGTATCCAGTGGGATTTTTTGTCACTCCAAAGATAAGAATTCTTTAGTTAGTCGATTGTTATTTGTTCTCATATGTATGGTGTCTGCTCAGTATGAATTTGTAGGTGCACCGCACTGCTGAATGTTTGTAGGAAAAGAGCTTACTTCTTCCATTTTTCTTTTTGTGATGTGGAGTAGGTGAAATGTTATTGCTGCTGCTCTGAAGTGATTCAGATATCCAAGTCTTGAGACAAAGTTCTAAGAAGGGTTATAGGAGGTATGATGGATTCCCAAAGCAGATGTGTTATAGTAGTAGTGGACTAGTGGTAGTAAAAGCCATGTTATTCATGAACAAAGATGTTGCTATCAAGAATGAAATTAGAATGTGTTCAGTGTATTAGCATCAATGTACATGTCTTTTCTATAGGGTCTTTAAGATCAGAAAACACATCAAAGTTGAGATTGATCCATCCAGAGTTTTCATATATATGTTGGATCTCTTTCCATCTAACTTGGTTGGGTTAAATGGTACCCAACTAAAATATATCAAATCCATCCATGAGATTGTCACATCAGTAACTCCTTGGAATGTTTCAGTTAAGACAATTAACTTTATTGAAGACACTTTTAATTAACAAACAAATACAAATTCTAATCTACACATTAAGGTGCCATTTAGATCAAGAATAGCTTGTCAAATCTTATTTTAATGATAGATTATCTAGTCAAAATGCTTAAAATTGACCTGGTAATCAGTTCTCCCAAATGTCTTGTTTCATTAGCTATCACTCATTCCTTTGCCAAGGAGAAACAAATCTTCCATTTCTTTTCATCCCTCAAACTAATATCCATATATATATATATGTATATATATGTATATATATGTATATATATGTATGTATGTATTAAATATAACTTTAAAAATAATTTTAAGATACATATTTTAAGGATTTATCAGCTATATCTCAATTATTAGTATGACCAATTCGATTAAGCTCAATCTTGGACTATTAACTTTGTAAATTAATTTGATCGTCAAACAAACCATTATTAAAAACACCTTTGACTAAGTATTGTAGGATAGACATGTCTAAAATCGTAAATAGAATCACAGATAATCTTGAAACGAGCCTCGATTAGATTCGACTCACCTCCCCAATTCAAAGAACCAAAATATAACTTAACATTATGCATTTATACATTGTTGAAAAAAAAATATATATATTGCATAAATAATTTAAATATCCGAAAGGATATAAATATATATACACATGCAATGTTCAATGAATGTACTTCTCGAGTTAGTTACTGTATAGTTCATATAGTAGAGGTTTTGAGATCCAACACAACCTTCGTCACTTACCTTTAGAAAACATAAAACAATTACCATCCATTATCGTTACCATTACAATCATCGTTCATGCTGACAAGTGATGGAGAACAAGAATAATCTCTTCCAACACAAGAATTATCGTTTCCCCTTTGGCTGCATATCGAAGAGTCCATTGCAAGTTCTTTTAGCATATGTATCAAGTCTTGTGAGGTTAGCATCATCAGGTTTCTCCTCTGGAGAAAAGAACTCATGGTTGGAGTTCTCAAGTTCTTTAGCCAAGGGACATGATACACACACACTGCATCTCTAACTGCATGCATTTGTGATCTCTCCCAACATTAATCTTTTTTTTTGTAGTTGTATGCTGAAGAAAAAGTACATGTAAATCCTCTAGAATTTCTAAGGTTGGTATTGGATTTTGAGTCATAGAATTCATGATGGACTCATAGGTGGAGTACTAATGATCACTTGCCTCATCCACTGATAAGAGAAGTATGGTTAATATTCATTTTGTTGACAAACCAATTACATTATGTAATAGAGGAATTGAATTATGAGTAATTCATACAAAGAAAGGCATAAGATTAATCATAATACTCATGAAAGTAACAACAACTGGAAAAACTAGACACGTAAATATAGGTCTCGGCAAAAGTCAAGATACATCAGACAAGCTCGCCAATGAACAACCGATGCAAAATTTGCTTCCCAGCATAGACAGTTGAAGAAGATTAAAACAGGGAGTTGGAAAGACCCAAAGATAGGCCAAACAACCATAAAATGTGGCTTAATGGACTAACGAAAACCGCCTCAGAAATGCTTACAGAAGGGACGTAGGCAGGAGAAACACCAGGTAGCGAAAATGTTCCTGGCACCGTTGCGCTCGGCGTTGTAATAGTAGTAGTACCTGCCTGGACTGCCGATGGTGATGGTGATGGCGATGGTGTTGGAATGAGAAATGAATCATGGATTACTGTGGTCGGTGGGGGTATGATTGGAGGAAGCTGATGTTGCCCTGAGTAATACCGATCGGATAAATTATGCTGTTTCCACACTTGAAATCACATGAAACAAGCTGCTGTAAAGGCTCATGGGAAGAAAGTAAAAAAGATTACCTGGACACTGAGGTTGAAGAGATGTGGTTAACCTGCATGATGAATCAAAAATCACATACTTTGCTTTATCAAAAAGAAGATGATCAAGATAAAAGAATCCTAGTAGAAGCTGCTTACACAGTGGCGATAGATCCATTTACAAAGCCACCATAATTGCAAGAAGTAACATTGCAACCAGCGCTGGTCTGCTGGGAAGTATAGTTTCCGATCATAAGATTGCTGTTGCTGCACTGCATGCTCGAACATGATGCTGACAAGGATGCTGGTGAACAATACAATCTGCAAGAAGTTGCAATTAGTTTGAAGTAGAAAAAAAGGGGAAAAACAAAAAGTGCACAAGACAAAGTAGAATTCAATGAGTACCTGAGATTTCCTGGTCCACAACTGCATTGAACACAGTGGCTAGCAGTAATGGCATAAGTCCCATTGGCCACAATCAGGCCGTAGTCCGATGCATAACTTGGAAACATCGATGCGCATGCTATATATATCAAGGGGAAATAAACTACAAGCCTTAGTGCTGAGAGAATATTATCAATGACAAAATTTACATGCATCGGAATTAAGGGGGGGGGGGGGGAGAACCACTTCCAAATGTTGTTTGTTCATATGAGTTTTTGTATATCTCACTAAACTGTTAAGACAGAAATCACATGTATTTCATGTTTGTATATGCCAAACTCATTCATTCTTGTACACCATTCGACATAGATTATGTAATGGAGTACTTGGAAATAAAATGGTCCATGAAAGTCAACTTCATAGGAGATACAACAGATCTTTGCTTTATGAGAATCTAATCTGGCTTTCAAACTTATGGCTTAATCACATCAGTATGTAATGGCAATAAAAGGTCAGCCGGCTTAGAGCAGAAATAGGGATATTTAAAAAAAAAAAAATCACAAAAGCTTCTAGCACACTCGATCTCGGTGGCTAAAAGAGCTCCTTTATGTTACTCAAAAAGGACAAAGAGAATTACCTCTCCTTAAAATGATTCCTTCCTCAAGATTCTTGGATTATCATATTCCTCCGTGAGATTGCTTTGACAATTATATATTGATATCAATCCCCTTCCTGTTGTTGATTTTTTCTTCTAATCCAAAAGCTATAACGTTCCTATCCCAACTTGTTTCTGTTTTTCGTGATCGTAGACAGAAGAATTTTTTTTGCGATACACCTTGGAATAAACTTAAATGACTTTCATGAAAATAAAGGGCCTCTCGGTATACCGATTTCATGATTAAATTGTATTACTTGTATTATCCAATATGCTTTATTATTATCACTTGCCAAGTGAGACACCTCGAATACACCTAAATTCGATTCTGGAGTCTGTTGCCATCAACATGCTTTAATAAACTCCAAATGTAATAGAAGAGAAACTCGGTATACCGATTTCATGATTAAATTA